AAAAAAAAACTGATAGTAAAATTTCTATATGAATATTTGAGAACTGCTTTACCACTACAAATTTAGTGTTCTTAGAACTGAAATCCCTCACGGGGATTTCTCGAACAGCAATATTTTTTTTTCAAAAGGTAAAAAGGTGAGCTTTCGAATGTCGCAGCCAGTTGTTTTTAATTTTTGAGTAAGATGATCACTTTAATTTAAAAATTTGATTTAAAATGACTTTGATCATTCTTATATTTAATTAATTTAAATATATATGTATTAAAAATGAAACTATCATCTATTTCTTAATTTGACTAGGGACGCAAGCGGTCCCAGAACCCTTTAGAAAGAGTAGGATTATCATATCTAGCAGATTTAGGTGTCAATGAAATATAAGATAAGCTCTGATCACGTTCATCAATGAAATTTTTATTTCAGCGCCACTAGCATCATGTGACTATAATTGCAGAAAGTGGTAGAAACTCTCTTATCTCTTTAATTATTCAATGGTCACTACCACAATGACTTACATTTCAAATTATTCATATTTAAAACAGGAATATTCTTGGCATTCATTTTCAACAGTTAACTAGAAAAAAATGGTCTTGAAAGCTCGCTAATTTTAATTTCCTTTAATAGAATTTTGAATTTTATTAGTCTACACTTTTTGTCTTCTTAGTAGATCGTGACAACCCTGCACTAGGAGAACCGTACTAAAATAAGTGCAAACGCTGGCAGTTATGCTAAAAACATTATAAAGAAGAAAAAAATTTTGCATAACCGTTTAAACGTCTATACTCTGTTGCAAGTTAAGAAAAAACCATTATCCTCATGGAGAGGGCTTGTTTGCATCTAACAAGGGAAACTAGGGAAGTGTGACTTGCCAATTTTGAAATAAACTAGTGGGATGTATGCCTTATGAGGAATAATTTTAGGGGGCAACATTCGTTTCGGCCCATAGAAGGTTCTGTGAGAGATAAAAAATAATTCAATATATAGAAAAATAGGTATTTTATTACTTCAATGCAGACTATTAGTTATTATAATTGTCTCATACTCCAATTAATTTTGTGGTACTGTACTATATAATGCATATTTATTGTCAAAATTGATTTCGAAAGTTTTATATATCTGTAGTTTTTCATAAAAACCTGTTAGGTTAATTTAAAAATATAATTGACATCAAATTTTTTAAATTTTTTTTTCGAAAAACTTTCCAAATTAATTGGAGTATGTAATTGCAAATCAATTAATTAATTAATAATTAATTAACAATCAATGAATAATTAATCAACAATTAATCAACAATTAATTAATAATTAATTAACAATTAATTAATTTTTGATTAGTTTATTTATTAGCAAATTAATTCCAAATTAATTGGATTATGAGACAATTACAATAACTAATAGTCTGCATTGAAGTAATAAAATACCGATTTTCCTACATATTGAATTATTTTTTATCTCTCACAGAACCTTCTATGGGCCGAAACGAATGTTGCCCCCTAAAATTATTCCTCATAAGGCATACATCCCACTTGTTTATTTCAAAATTGGCGAGTCACACTTCCCTAGTTTCCCTTGTAAGTGCACACCAAATAGATGCCAAGCTCCCAGTATTAAGTTCGCCAACTCTTGAAACGGCGTTGCACAGCTTTCTTTATGCTTGCTTTTTTAAATCTTACGAAATGAGAAAACAAAACTTATTGAATAATCAATTAACAAGTAATAGGAATTAAGAAAAATGATATCTAAAAATCGTTACAAATATACACATTTCGGTTCACATTTAAAGAATCTGTTCGTTCGTTCGTTGTTGTGGAATTGGGCATCTGAGGCCTAAATGGCCCTTTTTTAAAGAATCTGATGAAAGAATAATAAATATTAAATAAATAATCACAAGAAACTGAAGCTGCAAGATATTACCTGATAGAAAACTTCTCACTCTTCACAAATATACAAAATTTAAATGTCAATCAATTTTGGAATTCAAATATCAAATATGTATAACAATCAAATCCAATGCTCTTGTAACGCCATAGTTTCTTTTTCAAGAACAAATATTATCCTTATTTATCAAAATATGTCGCCAAGTCTGATTCCAGTGAGACAGTGTTTCCCAAAGTGTGGTACTCGGACCCCCAGGGGTACGAGAACAGCTTAGCGGGGGTACGCGTTCTTATGCGAAATATCTTGAACAAACGAAAATTTCATAAAATTTTATTTAAAAACAAAGTTAACCATGAAAATTTACGATTACGTGTTTTTCTAATGGCTTTTTTTTGGCAGAGTTAACAGTTAATTAATTATAAGTGGTGTCAACAACCAGTTGTGATTTTTAATTTTTGTGCAATTTTTTATAGTAAAAAATGCATTCATTTTTTATTAGTGGTACACAGCGTTATGAAAAATTTAGAAAGAGTACACAAAAGTTTTAAGTTTGGGAAACACTGCAGTAAGACTTCGAAACTAACCTTTTTTTAATATTTCTATGATATATATCTTAAAAAATAACTCGAATTAAATTTCCGCCTGACTTACTTAGTTTTTAAAAGCTTTTATATTGTTTTGAAAGCATATTTGTATAATTTGATAGCGAAATAAAACGGAACTACATGCAGTGCGGATGATTATTTAAACTTTATACCACAATGGTCTTTTCTAAACTTGCAACGGAGTATAGGTTCCATTCATGGAACGTGTATCTTTTTCAAAATGTTAAAGACTGGTAAATCAATTCTTTCATTTTAGCATTTATATTGGAAAAGCTGAATATTAATAACAATCAAAATACATTAATAATATGAGACTCTATATTTGATTCTGAAATCAAGCAGTTTTTTTTAACCGAATTCGCTGATAAAAAAAGGATTCATCATAGCACTTTTTTATAATGACACTTTTTCCAATACTGCAAATTAGTCTGGCTTCAAACGGTGATGATGGCATGATTTTTTAAATGGTTTCATCTAAAATATATGGTGTAAATTGAAAACAAGTTTTTGATAAATAGGGCATTTTAAAATTTATGCTTTATAAAGTTCACAATAAATTGAGGAACATCGTTGGAGAAATAAAAAGTGCTTTCTATCAAGAAGTACATACGGTCTTAGAACTTTAAAAGAGGTACCAAAATTAAAAAAAGGGTATCAAAATTAAGGAAACACTATCTATTTTAATTTGATTACTTTCACTGCGATACTTTAACATTTTCAAATAAAGATGTCTGTTTTCGAAGTTATGGGTTTGTTATTTAGGGCCGTTATTGCGTTACTTCTTATAAACAAAACTGAGAAATGGGCAAACTAACTCATATGGGTAACAACAAGTAAAGAACAGGCTTCGAATTTTTATTTTTAAAATAAAACCCAAAAAAAAAAAAAAAAAAANAATAAAACAAAAAAAAAAAAAAAAAAAAAATTCGTAACTTTATAGTGCAATATTGACATCACCTTTTATGAACCATGCCAACATTTCCTAGAAAAGGGACGGCCTCCCCACCTGTTATCATAAATGAGAAAATGGATCTTTTAGTTGTCCGAACTTAGTGACATCTTTCTTAATAACCCAAGTAGCACAGGGATATTGTAACAGCTTTAGTCTACATCGATCAATATTGGAGAAAATCGACATTGTGTGTACGATATTGTACGATCCCCGTCGATTTCACATTAAAAGTCTGTTTGTAAAACTTTTCATTTTTAACTTTATTGCGTTCTTAAATCAAAATTAATCATTTAAAAGACAAAAAATGACGTCAAATTGTTATAATTCTAAAAAATAAATTTAAAATATAAATTTAGCAGTATTTGTAAATGCTGAGAGATATCGATCGACATTCCCCAACGTTTTTACAATATCGAACAATATTGTTTCGCGATATTGAATATAGGTTATAAAAGGGGTCCATTTTTATATAGTACAATGTTTCGCTAAGATATTGTACAATGTTCAAAGCTGAGTTTTTACGATATCGCTTTTGTGAATCGTGCTACTTGGGAACCCCATTGCGCAGTTTATGCTCATTACGTCGGACTGCCAAATTGATCCGTGAGGAGGCCTTCTCTCTCCTAAGAGGCGATGACCTGTCAATAAATCGAGCTTGAAAAATTATATGAGTTTTTCTCAAAATTTCCTGATGGAGTTTTTTTTGTTTTTTGTTTTAAGGGCTGAAAACTTTCAATGAATATTGCTATTATATTCCAATTTCAGTCATTTAGTGAATTTCCCAAGTCGTGCCCAGTCGTTAAGAAAATTTCAAATTTGTAAACACTTCAAATGTTTTCATATTGCACCATTCAAAGAAATTACCTTTTACCCATTTATCTCAAAAAAACTTTTAAAATTCCTCTTTGGAAAATTCCCTTGAAAAATTGAAAGTTATATTGTTTTTCTATAACAATTTCTTTTGAATAACGTATTCTACTATTTATGTTTTTTATCCATATCCATTCTACTATCTATAAATTCAATTAGTCAGGAAAATTTATTTTACAACTTATGTTTTCTATAAGCTATTTTTCATTAGGTTATTTATTTCCACAGTATTTTTATTTTCGCCTCAACTCTTTGCCCCGAAATAAAGAAACGAAATTTCCTAATTTAAAACCCAAAAATACTTTTATTTCTATACAAGAAACAATAATTTAATATTTTGAAATTTATGTTTTCTATACGCTATAATTCATTAGGCTATTTTTATCCACAGTAATTATATTTTCTCCTTTCCTATTTGCCTCGAAATAAAGAAATAAAATTTCCTAATTTAAAACCCAAAAATCTTCTACTTCTATACATAAAGCAATAATTTAATATTAATAATATACATAAAGCAATAATTTATGTTTTCCATAAGCTATTTTTCATTGCTTATTTCCACAGTGTTTATATTTTTGCCTTAACTCTTTGCCCCGAAATAAGGAAACGAAATTTCCTAATTTAAAACCCAAAAAAACTTCTATTTCTATTACAGTAAGTAACAATATTTTTTTATTTATTTTTTTATTTTTGTTTCAGATAGGAAAAGAAGTTGAAATCGGTGGGATGGCATTTTACTACCTTAAGTTTCGTCTAGGAATCTGTGTTCCGTCTACTTGTTCTTTGCAAGATATGCAAGCTGTTGCCAAAAGAAGTAAAATATTATACTCGAAATATTTATTCTCGAGATAGACTTTTTCAATCACTTAAATTAAATGAGATTTTTTAATTAATTTGGGTTTTTCTAAATTTAATGACTTTTTTCAAAGTGGGGATAAGGGTGCATCGCGATATTTTTTTTTTTTTTAATTATACATTTGAACTCGACAAAAAGATATCCCCATGGTTACAAATTTATCCAAAATTTTAAGCCATATTAAAAACAATTTTACATCGATTAAGAATAAAGTTTCACATTTTTTTGGTCAAAAATGTGATTTTTAATATTTTTTAAGCTTAAACAAAATTCAAAATTTAGTTTTCAAGTGTCAAAATGTAAAATTTAGACTTAGAATGTAACATAAAATGGAAACTAGAATGTAAACTGAAAGTGAAACTAGAATGTAAAATGAAAGTGAAATTAGAATGTAAAATGAAAGTGAAACTAGAATGTAAAATGAAAGTGAAACTAGAATTTAAAATGAAAGTGAAACTAGAATGTAACATGAAAGTGAAACTAGAATGTAAACTGAAAGTGAAACTAGAATGCGAAATGAAAGTGAAACTAGAATGCAAAATGAAAGTGAAACTAAAATGTAAAATGAAAGTGAAACTAAAATGTAAAATGAAAGTGAAACTAGAATGCAAAATGAAAGTGAAACTAGAATGTAAAATGAAAGTGAAACTAGAATGTAAAACGAAAGTGAAAGTAGAATCTAAATGAAAGGTCAAAAATATGCGAAATTTAATATTTGGGTTTCCTGCAATCTACCCATGAATCTTAAGTTTTGATTTAAAAAAAAATATGTACATTTTCAACCTAATATGGACATTTTCAAGTTAACTTAGATTAAGGAACCCGAAATGTGTGTTCTTGTTGTTCATGACTTCAGAAATGTTGCTTTTCTAAAGGAAAAAGTTCAAGCTCTCTCATTTGTCGCAGTCTCATGTCCACGTGACAACAGACGATTTATTTCAATTCGCCCAAATTCTCTTGTATTGATATCTGTTAAAAATGAGCATCCAGTCCTAAGGGAAAAATCTGTAAAGATTTTCATTCTGTTTGCTAATTCATATTCGCACAAAGTTGTATTTTGAACAGTTATTTTCTAAAGAGCAATTACCATCCAAAAATTAATATCTAAAAAGAAATGCGTATAAGTACATCGAGCAGTACTTGATTAAAAACTTCATTCGCTTCAAAAATATATAAATAGGAAATAACAGTTGACAATTACTCAAAAACAGGCGAGCATTTTCAAGATATGCCAAACGTGAATAAGAAGAAACAAAAGCGATCTGAAAAATAAAACATAAAATTGCCTAAGAAAAATAGAAAAATCATAGTATGGATGGTGTTTTCTACACTAGGGAACGCTGCAAGCTCCATACCGCCTATACTTCCCGGTTACTTCCTATACTTCCCGGTTTTAAAGCCATTTGGCATCATTGTGTTTTGAGATTCTTGCAAACGTGGTATTTGATTACTTATTACTTGTGTTTACAATGCTAAAAGTGTTAACACTAACGTAAGATGGTGCACAGCTTGCAACAAGAACAAACCGTTATAAACAAATGGAAAGAGGCCAAATCAGGACTGCCAAAAAGCGAGTTATTCAAAATCTGGCAACCATCTCGCCCTTTTTTAACGATATATCTATAAATAACTAAGACAGTTTTTCTCTTCAAATTCACCAGAATTATATAATAACATTAATATCTTATGAAATGCGACAGATTTGAGCTCAGAAATTATCTAACTTACTTCTTTTAATGAAAATAAAACGATCCGTTTGAAAATATTGCCTCGCTGAATAAGCTGTAGTAAGCAGCTGCATGCTTTCTAACCGGAACCAGAGCAGATATGGAGCTCGATATTGTTATTGTTAGACAAATTATAACTGTGAGAGAAAAAAATGAAAAACAGAACAAGAAAAACCACTGTGGCCAAGAGGGGCAAAACAGGGTAAAGTGTAATTGCTTAATACCTATGCGATATGAAGTGTTGGTGAGGAACTAATGTCGTCAATAAGGAAAACAGCATCTGTATGAGATCATTCATATTTTTATTTCACGATCTGAAAAGTTATGCAGTGAACAATAATATCCCTCTTACTTTACAATATCACTCTTTACAATAACTTTGTGTTGATGATAAATTCTCCTTTTATATATTTTCTCAAATATTATTATTACTTATATTATATATTATGAATACTTTCTTATTAATTAAAAGAAAATACTTAAATGTATATTAAATATGAACTGTATTAACAACGTTTACATCCTCACCTCTTTCTTTTATTACATCTATATAATTAAAATTACTGCAAATTAATTTTAATTCATTAAATTATAATATGGTTAAAAATTGTTTTTTAACTCTTAGTCTACTTTTATTTATTTATTGTATAAAAATTTTATTTTTACATAGTTTCAGACATTTCTAGAACAGAAGTAAGAATACCACAATGTTATGTGAAAGAATCCAGTCAATGGAAAACCATTCACATTGTAACGCTGTAAGTTTTACACTTTTTTCCTTCATTTTTTACTATAATGTTAAGTTTTTTTTAAAAAAATTCCTACACATGTTAAATTTTTTCAAAAAATGTCTTCAGTGATACTGAACTCAACTCCAGACCCAAATTTCAGATATTTAACTATTGTGTTTGGGTTACATTAAAAATGAGGTACATCTAAATTTGAAAACTTACCGCCTGTAGTAACCAGCTGGTTCATCTACATGAACTCAATTTTTCGCACGCAATTAAGCACGAACTGGTCCCACATTGTCTTTCCCCTGCACGAACTCACCGCATCTCGGTTCCACGTTGCCCTTCCGCTGCACAAACTCATCTCTTCGCGATTCCACGTTGTCCTTCCTCTGCATGAGCTCACCATTTCGCGGTTCCACGTTATCCCTCTTACGCACGAACTCACCACATCACGGTTCCACGTTGTCCTTCCTCCGCACGAACTCATCACATCGCGGTTCTTTACTGTCCTTCCTCTACTTCTTTACACGTGCATGCATTAGGATGCGAGTTTATGCGGGAAACGCAGCAAGGATTAATAATGTCCTCTTTCTGCATGAACTCACTGTTTCCCAGATCGTCGCTAGTTCCTGCTGCCTTCGGCGATGTTGCTTTAAATCCTTGGCATTAGCATTTCAAATGCAAATTCCATAATTTAATCTCATAAAGAACACTTGGTATAAACATGCTATTTAGCACTGTCAGTTTTCGACTAATTACTCCTAAATAAACCTGATGATTGGAAACATCAAAAGGAAACTTGTTTAGTTTTTCTGATAGGGGGCACATAATCAAATTTTGAGATATATTTGCTGGTAAAAATTTGTGAAAGCATTGCTGTCAATTGTTATCCCGATTTACTCGGATTGTTACAAAAAACCTAAATCAAAATTTCTCTTTAGTTTTTCAATTTATTTTGTAAAAAACACTTAGTTCAAATTTGAAACTTCAAGCTTAATAAAAATATGTCTTTTAGCTTTACTCTTAATTAGGCTGATTTCCCCGATAGTTACAAAATATCGAAATGTAATCTTTGTACCTTTCTTATTTATCTCATTAGAAAAACATGCTACAAATTTGAGGATTTGTCTTAGTCAAAATATGTTCAACTGCCAATTTGGATAATTATGCCAATTTTTTCCGATACTTATAAAAAATCGAATTTTTTAGCTCCTACTTCAATTTTTCACTGTCCAAAATGGTTCTTTCTTCGTCAACTACTGATTCCGAAACTCTGAAAGATTGAACTAATCATATCTTCGTTGAGATAAGGGATAATGCTATATCAGAATATTTCTTGTGAAACTCTTCCATGGCTTGCGAATATGACTTTCGCTCAAAATAACACCCCAACATGCAATAACTGTTTCTTCCAGGCCTACACATCGTCATCTTCAACAACAAACACTTCACAAATGAAATCTTTGAGAATCGTATCAATAATACCGATTGTTTCGAATGAGTATCAAGCTTTTTATGCCTCTTTGTACATATATTATAGCTCAGCATCAAATTACTGTTTCATAGGAAGGGGTAATTTCTTTTTTTATTTAAATAAGGTCAAATAAAAAAGAGCTTTAATCTCTTATGCAGGTGTATGCTGAGTGCTTTACTTCTTGCTTGCTTCGTGGGATCCGTCATTGAATACAAGTATCCGAAAAGCCCAAATGAAAACCAAGGTAAGTCTTAGAAATAGATAAAAACTTTCTAAAAATCCACATTTATTAATCCAGTAAGAAAGCGCGAGAACAGAATCTTGTGATCATTAATGCAATAGAGGTATTGGAGAAATATTGAAGGCAAGAGAAAGATTTTAAAATGTAATTAGTTTTAGTATGAATTGCACGTATGGATTTCGTGCAAATTTAATTTCAAAAAATTAGTTACACGATTCTTTTCAGGTTTTTATGTATCAAACCATGACCTACAATAAACTGTTTCTATGCTTAGAAATCTGAAAAGTATTAAGCCTAAGCTCGTCTTTAAATGAATTCATTCTAATTGCTTCCAATTTGTTGGATTGTATACCGTTATTCTAAAATACTTTTCTAATAAATTACATGTATTTATGTATCTGGATTTGATTTTATTTTGTATAAAACTGAAGAGTTATAAAAGGGGAATAGAATGTGAACTCATTTCTAAATTAATATTTTAAACTGGACAAAAAATTTAATATCTTAAGTAAACATTAAGTATTGCAACAGGAAAAATATTATACAGTTTCTCTATATTTCTCCTCCAACAAAATCTGTTTAACTGATATAAAGTTTTTTTTTTCGAACTGTGGATGATGCCAATTTTTATTGTACTTTCAAACCATGCTTAATGTTTTGCTGTATTCTGAAACCAATGTCGTATCCTAAGATGATATAGCTAAAAGAAATAAATATCTTTAATGACATTAGGATTATTCTGGATTCTAGTATTTTAAGACTTTTTTTCTTCATTTAGTCTCAATATTATTTTTTTCTAATGCAGTGTAAGCTGTAAAATAATTAATTCTACTTGTAATGCATGGAGTTAACATTTCGCATGCATTATTTGAAAAAAATAATTTGCCATCAAAACAAAATCTGTGAAAATATATATCTGTGTTTTTTATTATATTCATTAAATATTAGATAATTCAAAAAAAATTAGAGTTATGCAACATTATGTCCCTGAGTTTATTGATTGAAGAAAAACCTTTAAAAAATTAATTCAATGTTTATTAATGAGTTAAAGTTTAGTCATTGAGGTTTGATAAATAACTTTAAAAAAATGTTAAAGTTTAGTCATTGAGGTTTGATAAATAACTTTAAAAAAATGTTAAAGTTATCAACTTGAATATTGATTATTAAATTAATATATTCAAACTTGACAGACTTTTTGAAATCTAACAACTGTAGAAGATGAATTTAACATCCCTGACTTCTCTAATATTATGCAAACTATAAAACTCCACTTCCTGATCACTGACGCTCGACAATCCCCGGAACTATTTTTAACAGTTCCCTTCAGGATTGCCTTGCAATTCGAACTCGCTTTACTCGCTCACTGGTTACGTTACTTCCGTCTAGCTTAATATGCTTTTTTGAAGTCTAAAGTTTAGAATAAATAGTTCATGAAACTTTTCTCGGTACTCAATTCTAAATATATATTAAAAATAATAAATTATTAAAAATTATTTTTTGCGAAGAATTATCTTTGGATAGTTGTGTGCAAAAATTTTCCAATGCTTTAAAAGTTATCGACATATGGTGAAATTAGTTTATGTTTTATGTAATATGGATTGTTTACTTTCTTCCATGTTTTCCTATTTCCCCTTTATATTCATATGCTTTTATAGTTTGCAAAGTAAAAGAAATCATTTTTGATTTGAAAAGAAAATTAGTTATCCTAATATACAAATAGAAATTTATCAATTCATATTCAAATGTATCAAATATATTCAAGGAAAATTAGAAACATCTATGAAAAGACATTAGAAGATTAAGTTTTGAATTTAATGTATATATATATATATATATATATGAGTTTCAGTTGTTATAACTAATACATCAATAATGCATCAATAAAATTACATAAATCCTGAATCCATTTATTAAATAAAATATTTTAGGAAATCGTAAACTGTTAGAAAAATTCCGACCAGAGCGTAAACATTATTTACGGAGATCAAGATTTGCGTTAATTCCATCATCATACAAGTATATAAGCTATTATTTGATATATTTATTAATTGTGATACACAAGAATAAAATAGCTTCGTCTCTTAAAGGAATAATTTTATGCATGAAGTAATTTTCTGTCAACGTCTTGTAAATATGTCTTTTTTTTAACGTTCAGGTTTGTACAATTGCTAGCCATTCCGATTTAATCGGAAGACTTTCCTACTTCCTTCCGTTATTGGATCCAAATTTAAACATTTTCTTTCCTCTTAAATTGAAACATAATTTCTTGTCTTGTCTTGACGTTTGAGCTGGGCATTTGGGCCCTATCCCATCCAGCATGAAGTGTTAAAAGTTTGGCGAGCATTCATTGTGGTCAGCAGTCGTTGTGGTTGCTTTATAACAGAATTTCAAGCACAGAATTTGACTTTTATATGGAGGCTTTAAATTGAATAGTGGTGCAACTCATCATTATCATAAGTCTTATATAAGTCATTTCTATTTATTTTAAAACTAGTACGCCTCTAGCTTATTTCTGCTGCCATTAGAAAGCACCAAAAATCAGACAAGTTAGAAAATAATAAAATTCTCTGCATGCCATCGATTATTTAATTTCAGTTACGTAATCCTAAAAATAATTCCAGATTTAAAGATGAATTGTGAGCAACTTTTTTCAAATGTAAAAATATTTCCTCCAAAATATAAATAATACATTAAGTACCAAGCTTTAAAAAAATTGAACAAATGAAGTTATTGATGTAGCTTAAATGTGCATCACACGATATTACTTTGATTAAATTCAACAAAAAACGGAAAACAGTTGGAAAAATGTTATTTTTAATACCTATCATATATGCTGGAATTTCGTAATTCTCAATGAACTTACAGTCCTGTTTTTAACAAAACTTTAAAGAAAAAATTATGGTTATAAGTTTAGTCAGGAAGACTTAACATACAAATTTTTTTTAAATGTTTCGTGCGAGAGACAGCATATCAAAATACTTAAAATACGATTCGATATCAAAATACTTAAAAAGGACGGTAAAATTAAAAAGGACCAATACATGACATGTGACATGATTATGTGACATGAATACAGCAGTATCGGCCCGAAAGAAACCAATCATGTATGTGGCCGATAACGATCAGACATCGTTGAGTCGACAATATTGAATTTAGCAGCCAGCCAGACAATTTTTGCCATTGCCAATGTCGGGCTGATAGGAAGGTAGTCGGCCACTTGATTCGGATCCGTCATCATACCTTATGCGTTGCATCGATTAAAATGTCAACATTTAGCATGTTTTTATTAATTAACATTTATTTCCAAATGGTATTATAAGAGTTTTAAATTGTTTTTCTAACATTTCAAATGACTACTCTTTTATATTCTTCAACTAGGCTCCTCGGGCCACTTGCGGCCAAGAATGGGGCTATGAAAAATATTCATTTATTGTTAATTCATTCATTCGTTAAGTAATTCATTGATTGTTATTTATTTTCAGGTGGTATTAAAGGAGTTTTAAAATGCTTTTCTCTGATTTCAAACTACAATCGTCTCATGTCTTCTTCCAAAGGATCAGATGAATTAAAAGCTCTTCATGGCATCAAGGGTATAAGTATTCTTTGGGTGGTTTTAGGGCACACGTATGTCTGGACAAATTTCACTCTTTTACGTAAGTTCATTCAATTATTATTCGAATGCATTGGAATTACATGTTGTGCTTGTTCGAATGTCATTTTAATTGTAAACAATATCTTATTTTTTGATTTGTAAAAATTATTTTAAATGTAAGAAGTAAGCTGCTTAGGATATGTTTGAAAACTGGAAAAAATTAAATTATGGTGTGATTTAACTAAAATTAGTGACTGTGTGTGATTTTTATAAATTTGGCTTTCAGTTTTGTTTTACTAACTGAAGGTTAAATAAGCTTTGATTATTCTTAATTATGTACTATTCATCAGAATTTTCTTTTTTTTCCTAGTAAGACACAGTTCTATGTGCATGTTAAAATTGTTTTTTTTTCTTTCTTTCTTTCTTTTAAAAAAAAACCTGGTAATTAAGGTAATGGTTACCTTATGGTCACGGTCTACCTAAAAAAGAGGCTGGAATGAAATATTTTTCTTACCACTTTCAGCTCTTTTCCGTCTTGATATATATATAAACTTTCTGCCCTACACTGGCGAGATTGAACGGTTGGTTAATATAAATGTCGAACTGACAATCATAACAAAACTGATAATCAAAGATAAAAAATAATAAAATTAACAAATAAAACATTTTCTAGAGGTAACGAAATTTAAGTTATTTTCAGTTCAGTATTTTCCATTTTAAGTCATTCTTCCACCACTACTTATCAAAAATTCAAAGTATCATATGAAATGCTACTTTATTGCAGTTATCTCGTGGTCACACTTTTAAAGAGTAGACTTAATTATTCTTACTAGTGGGCTGCGCCCCCTTCTCGCTAACGCTCGCCAACCCCCGAAAATTGCTACGCAATCTTATATGGTTTGCTTTGCAAACTAAGCTCGCTTCGCTCGCTACCAACTTAGGTACATTACAAATGTACAAAATTCTAAGAATTGGGTATAATATAAAAAAACACAACTACTTCCACTTAGTAGGAATAACATTTACCATGACGCAATGCTAAATTCTATGCCACTATCCACATAAATCAATTATTAATCAAAAATCGAATATCAATTACTTTTCTTTATAATGCAATAAAATCTGGCGAGCAGCTATTTAAACGATCAAACACTTCGTTTGTTTATTTGTGGCTTGAAGTTAGGCTCGCAGAAAAT